GATTAAAGTACATTTTAGTAAATTATGTTAAAATAGTTCAAGACTAGTAATGATATTTCTTATAACTATTATTTTTTCTATTCCCATTATATCTCTATAAAAAAGTTTTCAAAAAATCATTAACACATATATAAATTATTTAAAAATATAAACCAGTCTGTTAAACTTACCTAAGCATAAAACCCTAAAACGGATATCTACTTAAACTTAATAAACATCTAGTTTAAACGAATTGTATTTTAATTGTTCTGAAATATAATGGGTAATGCTTATAGTTTGGTTCTTGTTAAAATAGAAGTTAAACAGTGATCAGCACTGTATTCCTATTCCATGTTAAAATAGATAATGAAGCCTAACTTTAAATCTGGCACATTGATTTTTGGATTAACATATAAAAATAGAATTAATTGTAAACATATTTAAGTATAATATCTCATAAATTAGGAAGATCAATTAATCACATTTAGTGGAAGTAGATGTTGTGGAATGCAATGACTTATTTTCCTTTAGTGCTTGTCTTTCCTTCAAGTCAATAATGCTCAAATTAATACAAGCTACATATCCATGTAATAATGAAATAGCAGTTTTAATAAATGCTATAGGTGCAGTCATGTACATAATCAGTCTGAATAAACTTATGCCAGCCACTGAAATAGAAATTTATATCATTTATAATATTCTACAAAATTTATATATTAATAATGAATACCTGAAAAAAAATATAATACTCACAAATAGGTCCTTCTGTAAAGTAAATAAGATATAAAGCAGCATAAAATGCTTCATTTCCAGCACACATAAAGAATAAAACTGTACGATTAGTATAATATACTTTCATAATTGGATTTTCAGACATATCGATAAATTTGTGACTAGTTTTTCCTTGTAAAAGTGAGCTGTAATATAATTATACAATAAAAAATATATTTATATTTTCATAGTTTTATATAAACATTAGAGTAAATCTGTATAAACGTTAAAATTGGGCCTTACGCATGAATATATATCCAGTGACAAGCGATATCAATTGCCATACTTAATTGAAACCAAAATGTGTATGACGGATAAAGTACACATAATGTGGCTAATAAACACATAGTACCAACACGGTCGGTCAGTTGATCCAACATAGCTCCAAATTTGGTGCCCTGATTAAAATATCTAGCTGCATGACCATCCACTGCATCCAATAATGCACTAATTATATAACACCATGATGCAATGATATGGTTGGTTGGCATAAAATAAAAGGATATTAGAGCCAAAATCACTCTTCCATAGCCTGTTAATGTACATATACATTAGTACGTTGACCATATTTGTATATTCTTTTCTTTAGATGTTATTTAATTATTATTAATTTATTTTATATTTTTAAAAATACATAATATACATTCTATTAATTCTATTAATTCTATAATAATTTTGGAACCTTTTTCATAGAAACATAATTAAATGCTTTTGATGTTTTAAATATACTAGTGTATTATATAAAGGACTAGATTCATAGATTCATATAGATTGGTATGAGAAGACTTTGAAATGCTATGCTGATACTTTTATTTTATTATACTCTATATCTGGAAAAACTAACTTATAAACATTTGAAATCTTTTAGATATATATTTAATATATTTCAATACTATAAACATTGAAAAATTCACATTATCACGTAAAATAAGGCTGTATATATACGCAATCTCAATATTTAATATCCCAAGTTTCACTAAGAGTTAATGAAATTATAACATGAACATTATGATATTAATATTTTGACTAAAAATATTTATCATTTATTATCCTACTCAAAGTATTAAACAGAAACCTTTTCTGTCAATTGTTAAATACAAATTGCCACAATATACAAATTTTTATGTATTATAAACACTTTAATTTAACAAAAATTCATACTATTTCATTGTATGCAAGAATGCTTTAATTGTAATCAAATTACTTTTAGAATATGAAAATGCTACGTATTTACTTACCGATAATATTAGGTACAAACAAGAAAATATTCTCAGATTCCGTCATTTTACCGCCTTTGGATATCTATCGCTATTTGAAAAATGTATTTATAACGCAACCTGTTATCTGTAGTCGAATGTAAAGATTTATCTATTATCTGAGGTCATCTGTAACTTACGAACTTGGTAATTGTCTGATTGCTTTTTTGCGTTGTGCTCTCTTCAATTTAATCTAAATCACTGTAAAGAAGCACAATGTAACACATATAACGTCAATGAAACGGGTAGAATCGACGATTCTATCGTATCGTACTTGCGAGTTCGAGATACATCGATCCTCGTGACGCATGTAGCAGTCACATAACAGTATCGTATCAAAAGAGATTTTTGAAGATTCCAAAAAATATATATTTTCTTAAACAACGCCGAAATAAAAAATAATATAACATTTTTCATAAACTGTAGTTCACGTACGTGTACATTAACTTTAAAAGCAAAAATTTCTTCCTCTTAAATCTATAGTCACATTTTTGAATCTTAATATTTAAATAAACATCGAACTATCATAATAACATCATGATGCAAAATGTAAACATTTATATTTGATAATCTATTATAAAGGACTTTAGTAATAATTGTATGAAACATATTAAAAAACAGGAGCGGTAGTGAACAGCTTGACATTTAGTTACGCTCCTGCAGCCAGACGACATTTTCGGAGGCTAAACGATTGGTCCGCCGTTTCTCTGCGCAAAAGCGATCGTTTATTGTGTCGCGAGAAAACTATCTGTTCAGGTTTACGTCAGTTTTCTTGTAACATCTTTCCGATATGACGAAGCAAGAGTAATTCCCATGAAATAATAGTGAAATTAAGCCAACCATTTCAGTGTCAAAGCTGATTAATTGTACCAGTCACATTTGGACAGAGTGCTGTGAAGTTTCGGGTGGGCTACTTTTTTTCAATTGGACACATTTCGCATTATGTTCGAAATGAATCCCAATAACGAAAATTTTTGGCGGCCGATAAATGAAATATTTCTGTGAAAAACCGTACCGAGGGTTTTGTGTTGTTATGTGAAAGTGCACAGGCAGAAGTACCATAATGCGATCGATAATTCACTGACGATTTTAGAATACGCTTCAATGATCCGATCGGAGTATTTGTGGCTCCACGAGACGTTTTTATTTGTCAGTGAAATGTTTCGAAAGTGTTTGTAGTGTCTTCCGAAGCCCATGTACAAACGGAACAGTGATACAAACCAAGTATATACTTTTCAGTGTGTGCGCGTGCAATGCCAGAAACATGGTTACTGTTTTGTACAAATATGTTTTCGCGTCTTCCGTCCGTTCACGGTTGGAGCAACGCCACTAGTAAATTGCATTTAGTGTAAAAGAAAAAAAAATTAAATTTTACGTAGAAACATACGTGAGAAAAATGTGCATTTTAATATCGACAGCGGCCATTTTGAATTTATGAGTGGTGCGAACTACGCTGATTATCAAACTCACTTTATATCACCAAAATTGGACTTTCTTCAACATCTTCCTAAGAATTATCAAAACCTGTGACATGAATTTGAAATGTCAGCCGAAGGCATTTACAGCTTCTCATTGTTGAATTAACATCTTGTCGAGTGCTACCTAAAACATTCCAATTCATTTTTGTTATACGATTTAATGTGATTCGTTGTTACATGTATTTTCGATATGAATTGAGTTAACTAAAGCTTTTATCATTAAAAAGAAGTAATTGTAATAGATTATTTATTTGATTTAAAAAGAAATATATTAAAATTATGTAGCTCCAATATTTCCTTATTCATAAAAAACAATAAACAATGTTGTATTGAGAACGTGTCGATAGTAAGACAAGGTAATAGACAAAATTGTGGTGCTTCATGATTTGAAATTTCTCTTCTAACAAAAATTTGCACTAGCACGATAAATGGATTTCATTCTATGAGATATTCGATGTAACATGTGTTTCAATTCGATGAAACACGGAACATGTTTTATCGGTAGTTGTGGTCGAAGCGGTAGCTGACAAGTCAATCTGAAATAACCTCAACAACGAAGGATTATTAATATCAATAACGAAAATGAATCGGACGTTCGAATTTCATATGTTATAATGAAAGATTATAATTTAATTCACTGTATACTACACCAATTGGAAGAAAGATATCATGGAAGTATGATGGTTAATCTGATTGAACGACAGTCACGACACTAGATGGTGGACGGTGCCATTTTTGTCACCTTTGCATCGCGCATGGTACGCGCGTAAAGACGGAAAGATTTTCAACTGAACCCTTATAATTATCATAAAAATAATTATTGCTGTCTGAGTGTATGGTTCTTCGAGTTAAATCGAACATTATTAGTTTATGATCGGTCGAGTCGATCAATTTTGAACTGATGTGACATTTTGTACAGCGAAAAATGTTTTTGTCTATTCGAACGTGATAATTGTGATGGTTTAATAAATGAAAAACAAGATCAAAAAACTTCACGTGGTACGATATGCGTGAATTTCATGCCATTTTCCGTGATTGATTCGGTCCACATCGTTAGACCTTGAAAATACCAAAGAGCAGGAATGAAAATGCTATGAGTACAGCGGACACAGCACTGTCAATTTCGATCAAAATGGCCTCAGGGCCGGAACATCGTCAGGAACCGGTAGCACCCGATAAAACTGCTGAAAACAGTCGTAGTGAAATCTCTAATGAAAGAGATGTTGAAAATTTAGTGGTAGGTGTTGAGACTATCGGTAACCAGAGTTTAAGTGCAGAAAGTGCTTCGACAAATACTGATACCAATTCAGATCCTACAAGTCAAAGTACATCAACTTCTGCTACCTCCGATAACAAGCAGGTGAGTTATATATAAAATGATTTAATCAACAAATTAGCTACATCTCAACCATTACGCAATTTAACTCTGGTATAGAACCTGTTAATTATATACAATTAAAGTTTGCTTGGGTATAAATGTTATATTTACATTGACAAACACAAATAAGAGTTTAAAGGGGCGACGTTAGCATCAAGTAGCAAAAAGACAATTGTATATATAAAAAATAATTAATTTTAATCTTTACTATCATATTATATGTAATTTTATATGTACATATTAGGATAATAGGAATAAAATATAATAACTTAATTAAAATCTAGCTCATCATAATAATTTTTATCTTTTCTTATAAATTATACTTTCTATTTCATAGTACACAGGGAAAACTTATTGAATTTAAAATATATTTTAACTATCACTTATAAATTACTCATTTATAAAT